ATTTAAATCTGATGTAATTTCTTCTATGGATAAAAATACATTTTTATTTTTTATGTATCAAATATAAGATAACAAACAAGTTAAAACTTAAAAGTTACAACCAATCAAAATTCGAATGAATAAAAAATAAAAATTATTCGATTAACTAAACTATTGAATGAAAAATTGAAAACATTGAAAACTATTCGATAAACTAATAATAAATAAACCTTCGAAATAAATAAACATTCGAATGAAAAATTGAAAACTACCTATTCGATAAACTATTCGAATGAAAACTATTCGATAAACTATTCGAATGAAAACTATTCGATAAAACTATTCGATAAATCATTCGAATGAAAACTATTCGATAAACTATTCGAATAGACTATTCGATAGTGTTTTAAAACTATCGAATATATGGTGACTATTCGAATGTTCGATAGTTTTGGAATGACTATCGAATAGTTCGAATAGTGAACTACTATCGAATAGTTCGATAGTGACTATTCGATAGTTCCCATCACTATTTATAGTTAATTTATATTGTTTTAATAAATATTAATTGTGCTTTTATTTTCAAGCATTTTTGCGGGGCCAAGCTAACATAATTAGCTAACTTGATGAACTTCTCGAGAGCAAAGCAACAATGACAAACCACCAAGAAGATGACTCAACTTTTTCTTCAAAGTATAAAAAGTTATTACCAGCTGCTAATGAAAACCAATTAAAAGAATTAGAAAATGAGTTGAAAAATAGAACATTTGTTGGAAACTTAGTAAGAATAAGTGATTTTAATTATAAGTTTAATTACAAGCTCTTATGTCAATATTATAAAAGTTTGATCGCTTCTAATAATATTGTATAACATGATTTTTATTTTATGTACAGTGTACTCAATATAAAAATTACGGCGGGCAAGATTACACAGTACTATTGAGGAGAATTTTAGAACACACTATAACGGATGAGTTGGGCTGTGAAATTAATTTCACTTTAAAAAAAGGAAATAACACTGATAAAAAGAAAATTGGCTTTGTGAAACTATATCTGTATCAATGTATTTTAGGCAAGTAATGTTGGTTATAATATTTAAAATTTAGTCGGCATTTATACAACGACCATCATTTTTATAATTTAAACAATGTTGTATAGGTGTCCCACAAGGATTTACTATTATTGATATATCATTTGCGTGTAAATAATTAAATTCTATTTTTATTTTTAATTTATTTTAAAATATAACACTTATTAATTTAAAATATATATTATATGTATTTGTAGAAGTTAATCCCACATGTATGTGTTTGTTAAACGTTGAAATGAATTACTAACTTGAATTTTTTTTACAAAAATTATGTGGGTTTTTTGAAACACGTGATCAATTAGTGCAGCATAGATAATTGCACAGAATTACTATTAGGTACCTACTCTGTATAATTTACAATATATTTTCAGTGATGTTGTTCATGTTGTGCGCCTTATGCCCCCGTCGCGGTAGGCCGTAACCACGCCCATCGCCTACCCGACAAAGTTCGCGCGTCGTAATCGCGGGAGCGGTACATCATTATTTCACGGATTGTCTATTAGAACGTTTCGCGTTAATGCAGTTGCGTAAATGATCGCCCCATGTACAGTGCCGTAACTAGGCTACTTGAGGCCTGTGTGCAAAACCAAAATATTGAGGCTTCTTATTATATTTTTCAATACACACGTCAAAAACTTTTTTTAAAGTCAGCAGACTAAAATTCGGGCTTAAACAAAAAAAAATTTAATTTAAAATAATCTATAATTTTAAAACAATTTCTCAAGGCTATAACTAACTCAAAAAGTAAAAATTTTCCAAAATGTAATTTATTGAAAATATTAATATAAATATTTGCTGAAAACTTCAATGGTCTACGGTTATGAGTTTAAGAGTTATACCAAAGAATACAATTTTTGGTTTTAGGTAAAAATGATAATTTTTTTTTTTTATTGACGCTTTGTTATATCTAAAACTAAAAATTTCAGTCTCGATCTCCAAAAAGTACCAACTAGATTCACTTTTCTAACAGAAAAAATCTGATCTCGAAATTCGGAATATTTTTACTACCCAATGTTGATGACCGACAGAAATGAAAAAAATTATACACGTCTTGTAAAATCAATACATTTGTTCGTTCCTCTCAAAATCTAAAAACAGTGATCACGACTCCATGCTATATAAAAAAAAATGAAATACATTGGTTTCGTTTCCAAATCAATAATAAATAATTTATATATTTTAATAATTTTATATTAGTTTAATATTAGTCTTTAGATCTTTTGAGGCCCTTCGATATATTATGAGGCCCGAGGCCTGTGTGCGGTGCACACTTTGCACACACGGTTTTTACGGCACTGCCCATGTATGTCTGAGATGTCTCATATAGGTACTAGCATGCGGTACACAAGTCGCGACCTATTTTTTAATTAAAGTTCCTGTTTGCTTAAAAATACCAACCAATAAATAAAGCATACAAATTATTATGCTCCATAACTCGATTTATATTTCTAACCCAATTACTTTTTTAAATACATAAAAAATAATAGTTTCATTACGATTAAATAGAGTGTGTAGCCGTTCTCTTAAAACTGATAAGAGCTGAGAAAAAAAAAGAAAAACTTGTTCAGATCATGTATACCAACACTAAAACATAAATTCCCTACACCGTTACCATAATGACATTACCAACATAAAAATGTATAAAACTTATATTTTATGTATTTGTATTCAGTATTGACATATAAGTGTCATATTATGTATGCAATGCCACAAATAATTAATATTCATGCAATATTCAATTATTGTTGTATTTCCTAACAATCGATTATTTTGAAACTGAACCCGCAGCCCGCACGTTGTAACTGTGCATAGCAGTCTTGGCGACAGGCATAATATTATATATTTATATTATGTAATTATACTATCTGTATTCAGTCTGGTTTTAAACACGTACAAAAATTATTTTTAGCATTCTTATCCGCTAGAATTGTTTGCAATTGTGTCTATAAATATTGTTTTTGTATAAATATCGATATATTAAAAGAGGGGAAAAATCTGATTATAATATACAATGGACTCAAAAGTACCGTCGGCGGCGTCGGGTCTAAATCATAATGCTATTTCATAATTATTATTAATTTCACTTTAGTCGTTGGCTGTCGTGTATGTACCTATATATGTACCATCGCCTTAATAATGTATATCTGTTGTTTAAATATTGTTATTTGTTAATCCGTTTTCGCATTTTCCTATATTGAGATTAATATTTTATATTTATACTTATATTTGCTATAATATATAACATTTTACAATATATTAAAATGGATAAAACATCCGAATTGGAACAATGGTTACTTGAAGAATTTCCATCTAATATTGACTCATGACATAGAAATGTCTTAAATTGATCATAAGATGATGAAAGTCAATGCATCGATATGGGTAAGTTCAGGGCCGGCCCTATATAGGGTAGGTCAATTGGGATATTTGTCCTAGCCCCCGCGCGAATTTTAGGGCCCCGCGATTACGTCATGAAAACTAGGTATGTTGCTAGTATGTAGTTAAATTGAAAAAAAATAATTCATAAATATTAAATTCATAAAGTTATAATATGTTTTTGAGATATTGCATAATAATATATTTTATAAATAGCGTTATAGACTTATGGTTAATAATAGTTCTAATAATTCCTATTCTCGGTCGATGCTTAGTGTTATCGCATGAACGCTGACGCTAGCAATCAATTATTTCGTTTTATTTTTATATGTTGTACATGCAATTTGAAAACAATACGATCCGACGATACTGATAATTTTACATTTTCACTTTTAAATTGTACACATGACAAATTATAATTTTTCATGATTGTATATGCAATAGGCATCGTCGCATACTCGCGTCGCTACCATTTGGATAATAATATACGACTTTTACTAATCGTATTCGTTATTAATTATTCAATTATATTTAATAAAATAATTATTGAACATTTAGGTAACTTGAGATAATATCAACGCAATATTTGTTTCTCTCTCAGACCCATGCGCAACATAGATAAACCGTATTCACCTAACATTGTTTTTATGATTTTTGATTAATCTTGAGTACAAAATTTAAAACTAGGGCCAGCCCTAATTATACCGATATTTTTTATTAGTTGAACAAGTCTTCCGAAGAACAAAGGGAACCAATTATTGTTGTTATTCATCATGATGATAATAATAGTAAGAAAATTAACATTTGTGTAAAATTTATTTCATTTGAAAATTAAAACTGCATTTACTCTATAGAAATCACACCCATCAAACTTGGAGTTTCAAAATGTTTGGATTATCCTGCAATGGTTATACCTTTTGAAGAAAGCAACACAAATTCTCTCAACAACTCTGGTAAGTTTCCAATCATAATCTTTGACTAACTAAAATAGCAATAAACTTTTATAGCTATGGATAGAAAATTTAAAACAAGGTTCCACGTAAATAGGTTATTTATAAATTACTTTATTCACAATAATATCATCAAATATATTTAGTAATATCATAGGCTGACTGACTGTCCTGGCTCAGAATCGTTTTTCTTATACAATGATATATATATATAAAGTAGGTACTAAGTAGTACATATTTAATTGTTAATATAAATATAATAAGTAAAAAAAATTAATGGTTATAATATTACATATTCATAAGGGTAACTTATAACTATTTACTATCCCCTACACATTTGATGAGTTATTATTTATAAAAGTTGTATAAATTAAATTGTTCATAAGTAATTTCATATAAAAGTTATAATAATAAAAGAGGTATACATTAAATTATTTACAAGTAATTGTGTATAAACATTATAAAAATAAAATTGGTATGGTATAAAATTGGTATGAATAAAATTGTCATATTAAAAGTTACTGGCTAGTGGCAAACACATTAATTACTGTTCCTAATAAAAACATAATGAGTCAACATAAGTAGGTATTCAAATAAAATATAAATCATAAGTATACCAATGGTTGCGGTCGAACTTGTTTTCGATAATAACCATCCATAAGATGGCCTGCTCTTCGTAAAAACATGGATAAATCTCCATTCTCATTAAGTATACCAACATAGTTTTGTATAGTACTGGTAACTTCTGCTCTATCAATCTGAGATAGATTAGATCTGATCTGAAAATATTTTTAAGATACATCTTACAATTTATAATGTATTTAAATAATAATAATATATAGGTATTTTGATTTCAGAATAAAATTTCATAAGCTTTTACCTGGAGATGCCTGCGAACTTGATCCATTTCCAAATAATATTGATTCTCAACTATCAATAGTTTCTCTATAATAACAGTAAGTCTTCAATTAATACAAATAATCTAAATACATTATTAGCTAGATGGTAATTATACCAAATACAAATTCTGCCAAGCATGTTTCCAAATTAGGCCACTCCCAGACAAAAAGCACCATATGAAAAAAAAATAATTCATTTGACATTTTATTATATTATATGAACTAATTTATAAATAAGTTATACCTTCAGCAATTATTTTTTATAATATATTAAGTACACAAATGGTACAATTTCGGTCCGTTAAGGCTATAAGCCAATATATTTTTCGTCTAATTTTTGTAGTCCAATAAATGTTTTGTTTAATATTACACAATTCAAAGTTTTGAATTATATTGCAATTATATGGCATATTTTTACACTTTATATTGCATAAAAATCCTCGCTCTATACATAACTGAAAACAAAAATTGGTATAGGACCTTATGTTTAGGACGAATAGTCTTATAACCACACAAACACATACATACTCATTAACAACGTAGCACAGTATTCACAAGTCTTGATAGATACCTAATAACATTACCTATTTAGTATACTTACTCTGTGTCTGAAAATCGGTGATACCTCATTTACATAGAACCATACTCATTAACAATGCAGTACAGCATTCACAATTCTTGATAGACACTTAATAACATTACCTGTTTAGTATACTTACTCTGTGTCAAATCGGCAATGCCCATTCACATAGAAACACATTAATACATTGTAATACAAACAAATCAATAGAACAATATTCACAAACATGAATATATAATTAAATTAAATATACGCATGAAATCCCAGATATTGGGATGTTTTCCAATCTGCGTCTTCAGTGTGGCATGAAAAGACTCGACATAATTGTTAGTTCGAACTTCTGACCTAAAATATATTACAACAAATGAAAATAAACTGTGTATGATATTTTGTAAGAATTCTAACCCAAAGACACTTATGTTTGCAGCAGTTATTTGTATGAACCAAAAATCTTGGATGTAGCCAAATAGAAATGCTTGTAGGCGTTCGCGAATATCTGGTTGTTGGTTGACATAATCTACGATTATTTGAAAACCATCAAGCATTGTAAAATTGCAATTAATTTGGGATTCTGCTGGAAGATGAGGTAGAGCTAACACCTACAAATTAAAAACCCAAATTGAATTTAATCGAAACTAATTTTAGGAAAATTTAATAATAACAAAAATGTTTCATCATAATATCATATTACCATGCGTAAAACTGTAGCAGCCTCAACACTGGTCTGAAATAGATGAAATAGTCCGTTCATGCTCCTTTTGCAGTACCGGATAACAGACTATATAATTTGATTTAGTGAATACTCAATACATTAATAATACATTTATATGAGTGAATACATTAATAAAAGTAACATATTTTATTATATAGGTACTCAGTTTCTCAAAAATCATAGATCGACTCACTTGGCAGTAGTGAAACCAACACCCCTGAAGCTTTGTATGAGGCAAAACAATCCTTACTGCGTTCATCAAACCTCGTTCATAATCTGTTATTATGGTTAACTGGTTGTAGTTCAGAGGTAAAATCTGGTGTACAACTCTAAAGAAGGACTCATATGTGGACTGTGTCATTCTTGTAGTCAATGCATACACCATTGGAAAAGACTGGGTAAAAAAAATCATATTAATTATATACAATTAATAGTTTAAAAAAATAACTTACCACATTTCTGTAAACTATATGAAAAGTAAGCAGGCAGCCTTTTTTCAAATCAGGAGGATTTCTTGGCACAGTTTTAAAAGTCCCATCTACTCCTGCGATGGTAATTGATTGGAGTAGTTCTCCACTATATTTTCCAATGGCATCTGTATTAGCAAATACTACTCCAACTAGTTCTCTATCTACTATCAATGGACAACCATGTTGAAAAAATCTAAATAAAATAATAAATAATAGTAAGTAAATAATAAATATTTGAAATTTATTTCATGAACCTTGAAGAAGGGCGCTGCAGGGTTGAAATATATGATGTTGATGTGGTTGGTTCATTCAGGATATGTGCTAACTGTTCAATGGTAGTTGGATTTTTTGGACGACGACGACGTCGCATTTTATTCAGACAAAACCGGGACTGTAAATGTGTATAGTTTTGTGCACCTTCTGGATTTCTAAGACAGTTAAGGTTGTACAATTAAAACTTTAATCTTATTTATGCTAATAATTACAAACATTTTAAAAACATATAATGTTTATCCAGATTACTCACAACACAACTTCTCGGTTATAAATTTGTCGGATTGAAGTAGCCAAATTGCCGGTACTTGTTCCAGCTAGACCAATAGCTCTTCGTAAATGCACCATTGGAATGTCAACATTTGGAGGGAAATGGTTGTGTTGAACCCGAGTCATTATATCACCATTCCCTTTTTTTATGTCCATAGTCCTGACCCAAGCTGTTGACGGACAATGCACCGCAACAGTCTTTTGATTTTCACAAATTAAATATCTACATAGCAATAAAATAATTAATAAATAATATTATAATACAAAATTAGTAAGCAATGAATCATTTATATTTCATAAACTATTTATTTAAATGTATAAGCTATGTTGGTAACATCTGTTAGCTTACTAAATCCTTACTTACGTTTTATCGTTCCTTGCACCATTTTTATAATACCTATAATACAAGTTATCCATAAATACTACTGAATTTATTCTGACACCAGGTAAAATCGTAAATGTTTCGGCTCTCTGACGCTGGATATTTGCCAGTTGACCTGGTACAAAAATAATATTTTACATTAATTGAATTATCATATAAAATTCATATTGGTATCCTGCAGAACTAACAATATCAATAATTCATATAAAATACCATTGTTATCTTCTTCAATATCATCTTCTTCCTCCTCTTCGTCAATAACACATTCTTCCTCCTCCTCTTCAAAACTGTTGAAATCCATCAACTCTTCATACTGCAGTTCATTATCTGAATCGATGAAAATAACAAGTGGATTTAATTTAAGAGGAAATTAAGTAATATTTAAAGTGTTATTTTGAATGTATTTTTTTTTTATGTTGAAACTATGTACAATGCATTTTGTAATAACTAATAATTACTTGAGGATGTACTTATATAATTGATATTCACTTAAATAAACTATAAATAGCACAGAAAAAAAATTATATTGTTTTGGCTAGGTATAGTAGCGTTTCCGAGTTGTTTTATTCCCTTAGACTTAGGAGACTTAAATTAAATATGATGCCCCTTATGTCCCTAACATGTCCCCTCCCATTTCTAACACTTAAACCACTAAATAATAAGGAGTACATCTGCTTATAAAAGGTGTGAAAAAAATGTTTAATACATATATATAGAAATAAATAATACTTGGTAAGTAATCGTGGTCGCGTAGTGCATCAATACCATTGAAAGCCATATTCGCTGAGTTGGTCCTTTAAGTGAAGTTAAGTTTTAGAAAATTAATAAATAATTAAAGATCAAGAAAACGAATAAGTAATTAATGTATTTTAACAGGCTGTCACACGAACTGATATTAAATTATTATTTGGAATATTTACTTTTGTTTTGGTTGGTATGAGATACTATTTGATATGCTCGTTTTTCTTTTTCTTATCATTTTTAGGAGAACGGCTTTTGGCCCGATTAAATAGATTTTGTAGTAAATAAGTCGCGTATTTTACGTTGTAACTTATTGGTGACCTGGAGTACTTTTCGTACGTTTGTTTGATCTCCTATATATGTATACGTATTAGTACAATGTTTTAAATAGTTTTGATTATTATAAAATATATTGATGTAATTAGGTACCTATATTTAATTAAAACATAATTTAGGAAGTTGATTGTTATTTGTTGTACATATAATAATAACTTTTAAATAAAGACTATATGTAATTATTCACATTATTTAATTATTGTTGAAATTTGCAATGCAGTATGTAGTATGTTAGTATGTACCTATGTAAAAAAAACCGACAGTATACACTTAACATGTTCATCGTTTATAATATAATATATAATATTATAATCTATTTAAATTAAAATTAAATTATGTAAGTACCTACACATATGCAGAACACTTTTGATTGAGCTATTATAGTTAATTAAAATACACCATTTAGATTAATTACAATCACAATCTATTATAATTAATAACTTAAATTAATGCTAGTATTCATAGAAAATGCAGATAACCAACGTATAATATTATAATGTATAGGTATGCTTTTATTTAATGAAATGTCATATTATCTACATATTATTATCAATGTAAAAAAGGTGGGCAAGTGGGTGTCGCTCTGCTGTACAGTAGGTTACAAGTGGATCACTGTATAATCATAATGGATAGTATTAAATTTGAATTCAATGATTGAATTGAACATATTATATAGGTACTTATCTATCGTGTTAAAAAAATTTACCTAAAATAAATTCCAAATTAATCATATCACAATATCCATTAGGCACTTATAATGCGTTATACGTCAACAATAAACCCTGATACTATCATAGTCCATACTCCATATAGATATAATATAATAGTGTACTTTAGAAGTTTCAAGTACCCACGAATAGTATTACACAATCACAACAAAATAACTAAAATAGTTATTCTAGGTTTTTTGTATGTAATTTTGTCCAAAGTTGAACTTAAAATGACTATAAAAATAAACTGTGATTATGTATTTTTTAGATTTTTTGGTAACAAAATTTACTACTTACGTGGAATCTTGTTTTAAATTTTCAATCCTTAGATATAAAAGTTGAACATTTTATACATTTTTAACTACAAAATAATTATTCAATTTTAAATTTGATAAATTTTGTCAATGTTGAAAATTTTATACATTTTTAACTACTAAAAATTTATTCAATTTTGTCAAAATTCGATCTTTAAATGCTTATCAAAAAAAAATTGTGCAATTAAAAAGAGTCAAAATATTTTCAAAATTGTATTGTGTATAGGAAATGCTAATATAAATATTCAGTGAAATTTTCATGTATCTACAGTTATTCGTTTTTGAATTACAACTAAATAACGAAATCGCTACATGAGAAATCGAGTGAATATCCAATGTTGTAAAAATTTGAAATTCAAACGCTCATAAAAATTTAATTTGACTTTCTTATAGACATTTTTTTTTGATAAAGGTAGATAATCGTATAAGGAATCTTGTATTACATTTTAAAACCTTAGATTTAAAAGAAACATTTTTACGAATTCTTAACTCAAAATAATTTGCTAATTTTCGTGATTTTTCCATATTTTGTCAATTTTTGAACTTTAAATGCTTATAAAGAAAAACTGTGACTAAGGATTTTTAATATTTTTCATCTGCATTTGAAACAATATACTAGCATTCCTTTATTCAATTTTCAAGCTTTTTTAAAAAAACAAATAACATTTTATTGATTTTTATAGAATAAAAAACTAAAAAAATAGGAAACCGAAAATGTCCCCTAACAATTCAAGAGGCATGGTGTATAGAAAATTCTAATATAAACAGTCAGTAAAAATTTCATGTATCTACATTCTACGGTCATTTGTTTTAATACACAAAAAACCAAATCGATTTTCTCGAAAACAGATTTTGCGTAAAAATTCCCGTTTTTCCTTAATTTGTCTTTTGTTTTTAGCAGTGTGTTTGAAAACTACTGAGAAATTTTCACTTTTGACCCCCCAAAGTACCAACTAGATTCACTTTCTTATCAGAAAAGCTACTGTTGAAGAAAATCCAAGCACTTTTACTGTCCTAAAACGTGATGACGGACACAAAAAAAAAAAAAAAAACACATCATTGTAAAATCAAAACACTCGTCGTTCCACTCAGAATCTAAAAAACTAACTTTTAACTTCTACAGTTCTACTCTAACTTATGTCTTAAGTTAGGTACTATTTTTACCAAACTAACTTCTATCAAACCAACTAAGTTAGACATTTTATAAATTTCAGAAACTAACTTACTCTAACTTGATTACTTTTTATATTAAAGTAACTTACCTTTAACTAGTTGAAAAAAGTGACTAACTTGCCCAATAAGTACTGAGTAAATTGTTATAATTTTCTTTGTTTAATGACGCGGTTACCCCTATAATATTCCGTCTATAATATAGTTAAATATATAATACTTTCTGTGAATATGCAATATGCAATATAATAACTTAGGTACTATTATTATAAATTATTATTTACTAAAATATATTTAATATGTCGGGTTTTTTTATATAATCAATTTTAAAAAATTGAATTTATTTTAAACATGTGGTTTGGGAAAAAATTACCTTTAAGTGCCAATAAAATTAATTACCTAGTTAAGTTACTGAAAAACAACGGGGAAAAAAGTAACTGGTTAATTGACTTAGTTTAAAGTAACTTAACTTTAATTTATTAATTCGTTAATGCCCAGCCTTGGGTACTATACACCTACCATCTATAGACTATAGGTACCTACTACGTTATATTATAATATAGAATCGACAAAATCTGTTTTTACCCTAAATCCACATCGGTATAGTTATACCTACGTATGCGGTTTGCCCCAACTTATTCCCAGGCCTGATGTAGGAAGGAACTTCAGAAAAGACGGCGGTTCAATCATCATTTTACCTATGATCATTAATTATTTATACCAATTAATTTTAAATTTACGAGTTATGTATGAAACAAATACGAAGTATGGCACATTCAAGTATTGAACATTGTAGGGCATTGACTCTTCGAGATTGTACCTAATGTACCTATATTGCCTATCCAAAGTGCCGTGTTTCACAATTATTATATTATAAAATTAAGCAGGACGTCAAATTCACAGAAATGTGCATATAGGTACTGCTTATCCCATATGGACGTACCATAGTAACGTTTAATAATTTAATGCTAAGATTTATATGCAATAAAAAATGGTAAAATTTTAATTTTATTTTTAACAAAGTTTAGTAATCAAGAATTAAGTGATAAAAGTATAAAATGTATTTAAATAAAGGCATAATTTTATTAGGAAACATTGCATCTTCACGTTTGGTGTTGGTGAAGGGGTGGGGCAGGGAGGTACATATTTGTTCTTAGATGTTAATTTTGATAAGTGATTGATATAATTAATATGAAAATTACGGCATTAAATAGTTACGGAACCAAAACCTTCGTTTTTCAGTTTTTTTTTTAAATTTTGAGAAATTTTTTCTATCTTTCATCGACTGTATCTCGGTGGATTTTTGGTCTAAAAATAATTTTTACCAACCACATTTTAGAAAATTTAGTAGTCTACAACTTTGTTAAAACCTGTAGACCACGAAATATGATTAGTTTAGGAGATTTAAGCGAAAAACTGAAAAAAGTCGTCTGAAAGTTTTGGTGTTTTTGCAAACCCCCTCCCCCTCCTAAGTTAGCACAGGGTCCTCGGGGTCGAAAACTTAGGATAGACATCTTAGAGTACCCCTGACAACCTGTAAAAATTTAATTAATTTTGGCATACTTTCCAGGTAAAAAGTGGATATCGATTGGACTATAACGATTAACGACTAGTATCTAAATAAATTCATGATTCATGAACAACCACCTTCTACTATCTTATTATGATAAAATCTTATAATTTACTTATCACTTTATAAATAGGTAGTATATTTAAGATTACCACAACCAACTGTTCCTCCCCCTACAAACAACCTAAAAACATCTAATGGTCATTGGTCATATTTGACGGCCTTTAGCTCAAAAAAAAAAAAACATTTACATTCATTTTAAAAATATTATCAAAACATTTAATAAATTGTAATATTTTTCGTGACCATGGATATTTAATTTTTTTACGATTTATTGATTTAAGTTTATTTGGTTACATCATTATTGTAAGGCTGCGGCCCGTATTAAAATAAAATAAAAAATAAAATAAAATATTGTTATCTTTAGTCAACTGTAAATCAATATATTTTGTTTGTTTATAAAAAGAGTGAAATCTTTACGTTTATCAATCGATTGAATATGACGTTCTGGAATTCTATGTTTTCCAAATCTCAAGCTGTGCTAAGCGCAATTAGAAAAGTACCAACGATGAGAATATTTGAAAAGAACATTTTGCCCGACAAAAAGTTGGAGGCAAACTTGAGAACCGTGAAAGATAATTACGTGTAAATATTATTTTTTAGTTACAAATAAAATAACTCTTATCTCTTTTCAATCATATAATTATAATATCTCTATGGACCACGTACTAGATGCAGGCTTGGATTAAGTAATTTGTGGGGGCCCTACAAGCACTTTCTTCAAAATATAGAGAAATTATGTCACAAATAATTTTTTCAATTAAATTACAACTATTATTAAAAATGTCTTGGTCCCAATTTGTTCGTGGGCACTAGGCACAGCACCTATATACTACGCCTTTATATGAGGTAATATGGCCCTGTGAGATGTATTTCATCTTTGTGCGTGCTCCGTGGTGTCATTTCAATTTTTTAATAGGTGGAGGTAAAAATATTGATCAGCTCAAATTATAATTGAATAGAAAAATCAGATAGTTTTTCACGCAAGCTAATTTCCAGTTAAATTTTTTATCTCGATACATTTCTAATCTTAAATAACATTATAAGTACCTGAGACAAAAGTAGACGTCTTATTTTATAGCAAAAAGAAGCAGGGGACCTAAATAATTATGGAATCTACCTACTTCAATATATTTTTCTAGACTCTAGAACCTAGAAGGACGAAACAAATAATTAAATTACAATACGAAACATATTACAGCTAAAACGTAATTAAAAAATCGAAGCATTTTAAATATATAGAGGTTTTCTGAAGTCATGGATAAATTTGAGAGTGATCATTTTGTTCTTAGAATTTATATTTTATTCGAAGACCTACGCGTCCATAATATATTTGAACTAAAAAAATATTAATTATAATTATCGTGAAAATATTTTTCTAGTGCTTATGTATACAACATTATATTTCCTTCAAAGTTCAAATTAGAAAAATTATATAATTAGTTATGTTTTCTCATCAACAACCAACCCAAAAAATAGCTGGTTTTACAATAATACAGTTTAAATTTATCACCTTGCCTCCCACGAATGACGCCACTGTCCGTGGTCTAGATGACTAATTAAAGTGATTAAGACAAGGTCCTCTACCGGGCAATTTTTTTTTTAAAATTGTTTTTCTACGATCAAAATAATATATATTTTTGCATACTTAAGAAAACGAATATAAAATAAAAATGTAGAGGAAACTTTTTTGTTTTAATGATATAACTTATAACCATTTGAAGTTTGTCATTTAAACGGTTTTATGGACCTATACCGCCAAGATGGTTTTATATAATAAAAAGAGGGATGTTATCGGTTTAAATTGTACGGGTAGCGATCGACTGACCATCGACGGGTCATTATGTATTGGTAAAATATTGTTCTTACCCCGATGTCCGAGGCCCTACTGATAAATAAATAACACCTCATCAACAACCATGACAAAATACTAAAAATATAGCACTCAATATTTACAATGTGCTCAGAACATTGTAACAATATGCATTTAATCAAGTCATATTATAGAGCCATATAATAGGTGATTTATTGTTTTGATTTCGAAATTTAACTCCTGAAATATTAGAGACCATAATATTATAGTTAAGTTAATTAATCTTGTTTTAATATGAAAAAACGCACAATATTATAATTACCTATACCTGTAGATTATTAATAGATATTATTGCTATTATATTTATAGGTACTTTCCTCCGTACGGTTATATGTCTGGAAAAATGAAAAGCATGACTACATCGAAGGATGTCATGTTTAAAGTGGCGGATTTTTTGAAAGTCAAAGGAAGTATGGGTGCAGCAATCGAAAATCACGGTCCAGGAGTAGATAATATATCACGCACAGGTAAACATGTCTATATATACAACAACAATGAATGTTTCTTTCTTTATTTGTTCTCTATAACATCAAAAACTACTTTAACGTTTTGAATAAAATTTATACCAATAGATTCCTTGAGACTTGGGGTGGGGGATTTGTAGCTTTGTTTTTCGACCCATACAGGTGACTCACACATTAATATATATTCTGCTCACGAAAGTTTAATACAAATAATATATTTTTGTTTGTATTATAAGGTTGCCATTATTGGTTACAGATAAATAATAGTTTTTATGATAGGATATCAAATATATAAAATTATTATATATAGGTACCTAATTATCATATCATATTGTATTATATTTTGTCATATAAGCTCATAAACTATTAAATAAAAATGATAAATTGAGTAGGTTTCAGCTATATTATTATATTTATAAGATACAGAGTGTGTGGTTGAGGTTTTTATAGGTAAATACTAAAAAATAAATACTTTTTACCGATTTAAAAAAAAAAACAATTATTGAGGATATCTGAACAGACGCTAAACGGAAACGATAAACAAATAGATTATAATATTTAGTTGTTAAATACTGATATTATTAGTCGGGTTGTATATTTCCAAAACGTGCAAGTATGTAAATCCACAGTTTTTGAACAATCGGAAACACATTTTCCACAAATATTTTTGGATCCCATCGGGTCACGAGAGTATTAGATTAGAAGAAACGGGTATAATAATTATAGTGTAGCTTACCCACTATTAATAATATTATAAAAATCATAACCCCATAATCGTTTATTTCTGCTTGAAATCGTTTACCAACACATGAGAAAAATAAATTTACTTATTACTATCCGCCGCAAGTGGATTGCCCATATCGGTTTTTTTTTAAGTCTGCGTATACGACTTTAAATACCTATACTAAGCGTAGAGTATCAATAATCAAGGCTGGGCATTAACGAGTTAAAAGTTAAAATTAAGTAACTCCGCATAGAAGGTTTTTTTTCAACACCTTAACTCCGCATACAAGATTTTTTTTTAACACCCTAACTCCGCACACAGTATAAATATATTATATACACATAATAGGTATTATTTATTATTGTATTAATTTATTTATTTTAAATACAATATATTATGTTATTAAAATTAAATAAAAATAATATTTTAGAATAAAAAGGTATCTATAAAATTATATCTATCAATTTGGTTGTCGTTATATAATTATTTCTTAATTCACTTATTTCACGTTCACTTGCCATCATATTTAAAATTTAAATAAAACTTAATTAAATATATAATATAATAATATATATATAATTGATAATTTAAGCTAATAAATAAATTAACAATTAACAATTAGCAATTATATTTTAAGCAAACACTCCGAGATCAGAGAACTGAATTCGTCCCGTAAACGTTGGATACTAGGGGAAATAAATATATTGGTTATTAGTTATTACTTATTACCTATAATAATATGTTATCAATTTTATATTATCTGTTTTATGACATGTGGACTTTTGGTGTTTGAAATATTTTTAGAATGCGGAGATACGGTGCATGCGGAGTTACGGATTCACAAAATATTTTTATTCATGCGGAGCTACGGTGCGTCCAAAATACTGTAGGGAAAAATGTACAACATCTAGGTAATGAAGTAACGTTTTGTATCATTACCTGTGACTCCAGTCTTTTCGTAAAATATTTCAAACCACTCTTCGGGCACGAACAAATATCTAGTTTTAGGTGGATCTTCTAACCTCACCATTCTAGGAAAATTAACTAGATCACGTTCAGGACCGTTGAATGGATTCGGCTGAGGTAGGCCATTAGGTTTTGGGAACCCCCCGGCACAATAATTGATTCATCAGTGACAGCGACTGCCGGTTTGGTTTGAGGGGTTTGAGTGGTGCCCTCAGCCCTAGTACACAGTGGTGCTACTCGGAACAGTTCTGTAAAAACCACATTTCAAATAAAAAAATATTTGAATATATGTTGAAGACTCAAGTTCAAATTTTGACAAAATGTATCCAATTAAAAATTTAAAAATTATTTCTATAAATTCTCAGCATCTTTAGCTAATTCCCTTGACAAAGAAATTCGTGTACGTACAAATAATTAATAAATAATTACAACCAATACGTATTGGTTGTAATTATTTTTATTAAATTCTTGAAAGTTAACAACTAACTATAACTAATATAATATCTTATTTGATTTAGGAATACGAAGCGTCTGCCGTCTTGTAATGCTAGTCGAAAAGGTGAAATCGACAGTTTAAAAAAAAAACCATTGAAAACCAAAAAATAGAATTTACACGGACCCCTAATTTATCTAATAAATCATTTGGACGAGCTACAACATCTAGGTAATGGAGTAACGTTTTGTATCATTACCTGTGACTCCAGTCTTTCGTAAAATATTTCAAACCACTCTTCGGGCACGAACAAATATCTAGTTTTAGGTGGATCTTCTAACCTCACCATTCTAGGAAAATTAACTAGATCACGTTCAGGACCGTTGAATGGATTCGGCTGAGGTAGGCCATTAGGTTTTGGGAACCCCGGCACAATAATTGATTCATCAGTGACAGCGACTGCCGGTTTGGTTTGAGGGGTTTGAGTGTGCCCACAGCCCTAGTACACAGTGGTGCTACTCGGAACAGTTCTGTAAAAACCACATTTCAAATAAAAAAATATTTGAATATATGTTGAAGACTCAAGTTCAAATTATGACAAAATGTATCCAATAAAAAATTTAAAAAACCTAAGCTAAATTAATATTAGGATATAGAAACTTGAAAGTCGGTACTATCGAGATACTATCGAAGAAATAATCGATTTCAGTTTTATTGCAAATTACAGTTCCTATTTCTTACTAAATGAGGATGTTGCAAATTACATAATATTGTCCTTACTTTGGAGGCAAATTACAAGGCATTTAAAAAAAATGGTGCAAATTACACATGTATGTATTTTGGTTCTGTAAAAACCACATTTCAAATAAAACAATATTTGAATATATGTTGAAGACTCGGAAGGGGTACCGCGAGCTGAACCACTTATCCACCGACAACAGTACGCTGTGGCACCCCGTATGGTGGTTTGGGGGGAGTATGACGCGGCCCTCGTTAGTAGCAAGTAGAATGTACAAGCACTATAGCGACCAGTCTATCTTATCTCCAACCACCACCACGGGATGCAAGCATCGCGACCGGGTTGACTCTCCCCGGTAACGGCAAGGCGGGACGGGGGGACTGTGTCGCGTAAGAAGTACAACGGTCGGCGGAAAAGGCGATTCGAGATCCACCATCGGACCGTCGGACCGATAACATATCGTCCGACGTTAAACTCATCTGCCCGAGCGGCACGTCATGTATTATTATATTTTGGTCTCAATATTATAATTTATAATACATAATTTGTGACATTCTTAAAGTGTTTGTGTTGTGTTTTTTTCATCACCTCAATCCTAACCAAACACTTCGACCGGACCACGATCAACCTTGAAGCAATCATCGTGTCCGCGTCAACTTAGGTATTAATGTTCTAAATACTTTTTATTTTTGAAATTATAATATAGCATAAAAATTAAATATTAATTTTAACAGTTTATAAAAACATTGTTTAGTTTAAAAAATATCTAACAATAAGTGATATAAAATACAATTTAAATGTAATTTAAAATTGTGAGTTTTTTACCTGTGTTACACAATTATTGGTAGATTCAGCTTCAGTATTATTTGTATTAACATCATCAGTTTGAATTATTTCAGTCTGTTTACTTGTCAGATCGTTAATAATTTGTTCATTGTCACTTCTAAAGAACTGTAAACAATCATATATAATGTAAATAATCAGGGCCCGCATAAAAATTAGGATGATAATTACCGGGACCCGTACTATTTTGGACATAAAATGTTATCCGTCGGGTCAAAAAGCTTAAAAATAATGGGTACAAAGTTCCTCGTAAGTTTATATAATAGAAGTTAAAAAATATTAGAAATACATAAGCACGTTTTGTTTTATAGGCATTTAAAGTTCAAATTTCTACAAAATTTATCACAATCTACGAGTCCTATGATATAGATATTAGGAGAGCAATAGAAGTTGAGTACCTATGTTACACTAAGTTAATAGTTACCCATAACTTATAACGTTAGATTTGAAAAAAAAAGACCAGTTATAAATTAAAATTGTATTTTATGACTATTATCAGTTAAAACATATATTTCTATAAATTAAACCAAAACATATGTCTTTTTCAAGTAAACAATTTTCATATTCACCTATTAATTACAATTATTCTACGACCGGGGACTGGAAAAACAATTTATAAAATATGCATATACAATAACACATTTTTCGTGACATTAAATATTTATCTTGATTCTTAAAAGTAAATTTAAGCCCCAAAAGAATATGAAAACAAATTTACTTTAAACATCGATTCTTTCGGCTGAATCCGTTACGTGTGTTCACTGCGAGGCTGACGAGGAAAATCTCCATAATATACAGAACTTAAAATATTGTGATTGATGAAAAATAAAATTATACGGAACGCAGTAAGTTTTTTGCTCATATCGGCTTTGCTTATTGAAATTTTGGAATTTTTAATGAAGACTGTGTCCTCTGCAATGGATTTGAGATTTGCCATGGAATATAAATGATAGATATTATACTAGGTACGTGCATAAGATGAATCCACGGATATCATATAGGTAACGCAACTTTTTATGTCAAAGAGTTCCGTGCTAAGGAACAATATTTGTTCGTTGAAATTTTATATTATGACAAAAATCAAAATAGTTTATAATTTTGAATTTCAATTATAATTTTCGTTTCTTAATTTAATTATTTATTAATATGGTGAATATATATCATAAGTACAAGCATATTTTTAAAAAAGCATAATATTGTATTTTAAAAATCATTAAATGAAAATGTGATTCCTGGATTTTAGAGTTAATATAAAGATATACAGTACCTAAGTACATTAAATTTACAGTACCTACCATGATACCAACTAGATTGAACTTGATTTTACTATGATGTGTATTTAATTTTTAAATTTTTTTGTTATTATTTCTTTTTTGTGTTTGATGCGTACACGATAAGTAGGTAGTCAAAATAAACCTTCGTGTTCCATGCATAATATAATTTATAGGTACTCTGTATGTAATTAATGATCATAGTTTTATTTTTAAGTTTTTTGTATTTAGTAAATAATAATATAGGAAATTGTATTTTCGAACATTAATTTTTTGTTTGTATTAAATACTTTCACCATAATAGGGAACTAAAATTGTCATTAATCGTTAAAAGAACAAATGTTGTGAAAAATTCAATTTTGGTAGGTAAGTGTTTTGTGTAGGCATAATAAATGCTACATTAAAATTAAAAAAATTCAAAGAATTACATTAATTGGATTATAAGTTAGAATATAGGTACTACAGTTTCCAGCTTCTACTACAACATTACGTTATATTATGTAAATCCCAAAATAATATGAAAACAAACTTATGGTGAAACCTAGCTAGAGTGCATCATCAACAATGCAAACGTCCAGTACGTAACGCCACCGAAGAAACAGCTAGGTATCTTCATCTCGTTCCGAACTGTAACTTGAAATTATCGAAATATTTAATGAAAATTACCTGAACATAACGAAATGTGGGAATTCGTGTTAAAACTTACATAATAATATATACGGCTTAACGAACTATCTGTCCATTTGATGGCTTATTATTTTTTTTTTTCACTAAAATTATTAGAATTGTTAATCATCGCGGACGAATGTCGACAATTGGCGATTGCCATAGATGATATAAAATATATTTTTTAATATGATAAATCCATAGAACTTCTACACTCAGCACATAAACGGTCTATTGATAAATCGTGTGTTATTTTACAGAAGCCCTGTATTACATTTTTACACTTTTTTACCTAACAAATAAAGTTTTATTGACATTCATAGAAAAAAACCTAAAAAGTTGGAAACTGAGTAAATCCGTAAGCAGCTCAAAACAAATCAACATCTTTTCATGTATAGAAATACATTCATTGAAAATTTCATGTATTTACGATCATTTGTTTTAGAGTTACACAAAAAGCCAAAATCGATTTTATCAAAAACCGATCTTGTGTAAAAATTCCCATTTTTCCTTGATTTTTATTTTGTTTTTACGGGCGCTTTTCACTTTCTCACCGGAAATTGAAAATCGAAACATTATTTCGACTATACTTATCGTATACACAGACACTCACAAAAAGAACACACATCAATGTATAATCAATACATTCATGGCTCCGCTCAGAATCTAAAAATAATGGACAATGGTTAACTATTATCACAGTTCAAAGATAAAACCAATAAAAACTCACCAATTACGACCATAGGCGCACATAGGGGGGTGATTGGGGGTGCTAACCTAGTTCTTTACAATCATACAGACTATTTGATACATTGCACTTTAGATATTATTGTATACACTATACAAAATTAAATCTAACGCAATGCAGAAATATTAGGATTTAGGGGGGTGTGGGGGGCAAATCCATGGATCTGTGAACCATAAATTATTCCAGCACATCCTAAATTCACACCCAATGCGCCTATGATGTACGACTTGATATCATATTTATCCATCTAAAACAGTAAAACGTATATCTTCATACTATGAAGTATAAACACAAAATAATTTAAAGTAAATTGAAACTCTTAATATTGTTAATAATTATTATTTATTTAAAATAAACAATTATA